TATAAAATTAATTTGGAATTTGGTGAAAATTCCATGTTGAAGAATTTTTATGTTTATGAAGTTTTCGATTTTCAAACTAAGAGCACAAATATATGTATGTTTGCACGTTTTAGCATAATGTCTATTGTCGTTATTAAAAATAATAAATTTTCAAAATCGGCTTGAAGTATAAAATTACATTACTTGCTGATGATGCTGAAACCGGTATTTTTTCCAAAGAAGAAAGGTTAACCTCAAGTCTGTGAAAACTGCTGCAAGATAAGCCTTCAAAGTATTGTATATGTATAAGGTTTCTTCGATGAGTCCGAGCGAGTAAGCGAAGCGCTTCACTATACAGCTAATTTAAGCTAGTTTCACAGTAGGGAAGAGAGCCGGAAATACGTTGTTCAGTCTGACACGAAAGTCTTGCAAACAAGTAATTTTTAAAACAAGTATTTAAAAAAATAAAACTGAAAAAAATTCAAGATTATCGCCAATTTCTTCAAGATCCAATGTTCGGATCTAACCTCGAGATTATCCCTGAAGAACAATCTTTCCTTAAAAAAAAAAGAATTACAGAAACTCGTCTACGTGATCCAAAGTTATGCGGTAACATACATAAAAAAAAAATATTTCGACGAATTGATAAGCTTCTCCTTTCTTTGAAGTCGGTTAAAAACTCACTTGCCAATTTTCATGGTGAAAAGCGCGATTTATGTTGTTTTTCTCTCGCAAATATTGGCATTCACGAGATCCGAGGTGCGAGTCCTAGGCCAGTGGATTTTTTCTTTTATTAATTTATTTATTCTTATTTTTTAAATTTAATTTTCTATCAGTTTTAGATTTTATGGTTTCAGAAATAAAATATGCATATATTTATATATTACATTCAATTCAGATCTTAGAAACTTATTTTTAGTTCTTTTTTTCTCCTTTTTAATATTTTTCTACAATTGATTTCTTTTAAATTTTGGATTTTGTTGTTGAAAAAGAAAAATGTATTTCTTTAAATTGTATTAGTTTATTTCTTTGTAATATGTCTTTCTTTTCTTCAATTTAACATTCTTTTATTTATTTTTTGTTTTGAAATTCCAAATATTTTTTCATTTAGTGTATTTATTTTTTCTTATTTAATAAACTTTTCTTTACTTAATTTTGTTTGAATTTTTTATTTTATTTTTTAAAGAGTTCAAGAAAAAATAAAGCCATATAAATAAGGAAAAATATTCTTTTTTCTTAAGAACTGCAGACAGCCATGAAGAAAGAAAACTATCTTTTAATTAACTTTATTAATTTTTTATTGTCCTTAAAATTTTTAGTTTAATTTAATTTTAATTTTAAGGTTTTGTTGTTTTAAAAAAATTTTTTTTTTAAATTTTAGTTAAATTTTCCGTTAAGTAAAAATTTCTGTTATCCGGCAGGGAAGGCCCTGAGTATACCGTCTAACTCTAGGTTGCGTAGGTCAAACCCCTGCGTTGATAGAACTTCTGTAGGAACGAACCCAGGTCGTATATTTTCCACCTTATAAGTGATTTTGCTCTGTCATGCTCTGAGGCGCCCTCTGCTTCTACTTGCATCTTATTCGATGCAGCCGCGCTGTCGACTGTTTTCTTCCACGGTTTCATTGTCACGCTACAAAAGCTGTAGTTGAGCTTAAAGCCGTTCTGCTTGATGTTACTAAAAGATTCTTCATCTATGCCTACGTTTATACGCAGCCCTTGGAAGGAAGACAATTACGCTTTGGGTAACCAAAAGCATGGACATTGGCGAAGTTCGTCTTCATACCGAGGGTAGGCATAGCCTCTCATGTTAAGCCTATTCATTTTCGACCAATCAATCTTTCTTATTTCTATAGGCAAAATATGTGGTCTCAAACCTCACATAGTTTCGTGGATTTACACAGAAGTGGTATGTCTTATATTATTCTACGGCGTCACAGTCTGGTGGACATCAGTGGATAAATCCTAAGCTTACCAAGGTTCAAAGGGCAGCATGCACGCTAGTCACAGGTGCGCGGCCATCCGCACCCATAAAAACCAAGGAAACACTCCGAAAATGTTTTCCCGTAGACCTTTTTGGGAAGCTATAGGCGAGCTGCAATACAATAAGAATAAATGCATTATCAAAATGGCAAGATACCAGATTCGGTCACGCTAAGGTTCTAACCAACTACCCCGACACGTTTAGGTCCCCAGATCTGATGCACTCATTCGTATAGAGCGTCCTTACTAAGGCTGCTGACCAGTATCGGAAGGCATGCTAGCAGAATCGATTTTCCGGCCAATGACTTCTGCCGCAGTTGCCGCGACGTTGGCGAAATTAAGAGTGTGCCCTCAGCAGTCATACACGAATTATTGCGCTTTATGAACCTAACCAACTGGTTCTACTTCTAAGTGAACCAAAGGGTTCAAGTCCGAGCTCTCAATTGGTATCACAACGGACCCACCGGATCTAAGTGTGTCTTTGTCTGACGTTGGATGAAGGCAGCCACTTCAACTTAACCCAATCTAACTTGACCTATGCTGTGGGTCGGCGGGATGTCGTCTCCTTTCTTGGTGCACAAGGGTGGACCTAGGATGTAGCCTTAATACCTATTCTGAGCCTGAAAATTTAGTGGCCAACGGGTTGGTTAATTGTAACAAATTTTGTCTCCGTTCACCAGTGGAAAGGCTATTTTCCGCAGATAAGAGGAGTTGTAATGGTTTAAAAATTGGTTGAAAATAATGGCCAAATTCGTCGTTTAAAAATTTCCGTATTTGTTTATGGTTGTTGTTGCAACCTGTTCACTTTGAGCTGCGTTCGCGTTTTGTTTTACTTCGTATTTGAAATTTATCTTTGAAATAAAGATAAATATGAAGATGAAGAAACAAATGATAACGATGAAGATAAAAAAGTGAAGAAAATTGAATTTAAAGAAGAAAGTGAAAACAATATGAAATACTTAAGAATTAAGGTTCATCGATATTTTTATCGATGTCTCTTGTTATCGATATTATATTGGATATTGTTATCGATATAATAAACGTTGTTGTTATCGATACTTTAGTCAACATTGTTATCGATATAAAAATCGATATTTTTGTCGATATAAAAATCGATATTTTCACCGATGTAATAATCGATATTTTTTGTCTATCTAATAATCGATAGTGTTATATAATAATCGTCAATATAATAATCGAAATTTTTATCGATATAAATGTATGCAAAAGGCGATTCTACCGAATCGATTTCAAAACCAAGAACATCACTGGAAAATTATTTTTCAATAGACGAGGGGTTTTGTTTAATTTTACGATAAGAATCGAAATAAATTCAGTCATAAAAAATTTCGCTATCGAAAGTTATCAAGTTGCCAAAATTTATCGAATCATCGATGCTGATACTTATCGAATTATTCAAATTGATCAATATTTATTGTGTCGACGAAATTTATAAACACAGAAAATTAGTGGCCGATTAGTTCTTAAGGAGATGACTTCTCACGCCAAAGATTATTGCAATTAGAAAAATTTTGTTTTAACATTTGGAAGTTGGGCGATGTGACATCATGCAGTATTACGCACCTCCCACAACCGGGACCGGGATAATGCGTTTATGCCGATTAAAACTTTAGTTTTTTAATTACATCAAAAGGCAGCTAAAGTGCAGTAAAATTTTTATTGCATAATTAAACTAAGTGAATAAAAAGCGATTAAGTAAACATTTACATCAGAAATATTGCGTGCCTTTTTTCTCCGCTAAAGCAATGGAAGACTAAGCGATAGTTTGTAGTTTGAACCTTTGGAAGAAGGTCGTACGTACACGTACGGGTAATTTGTAATCCTATTTAGTATCAGCAGAAATCTCTAAGCATGCAATTCTTTCGCAATCTAACCACGCTATTCAGTCTGATCGGTCTATCAGCCATTGACATAGAGTTTGTTCAAATTTTCAAGGATATTTGCCAAACTGTAGCCACAGAGCAGGATATACGGACATTCATTTACACAAGCAGCAATGAAGGAAGTTGCGACAGCGTCAACTACGCTCGCCTAAATGTGCCGGCAATCTTACATACGCTTAGCCCAAAAAATCCAATTGCTATACTCAACATCGACGTTATCACCTCCGCTAAGCGTAACAACCAACACTTTAATCATAATTTGCTTAGCATTGTGCAACTTAGTTGTCAAAACTCTACGAGCGACGAGCGACATTTAAAGGCGCTATGGCGACAATTACACCACAACATTTACGCGCTGGCCTCGTACTGCTCTTTGACGATCAAGTTAGCGACGAATATATATTTGGACTTCTTAAATTCTGTGCAGAACATGACGCCGTAAACGTTATTGCATTGCAGCCACAAATGGCGGTGAGAGAACGCAGCTACTGGACTTTGAAATTATTTCCTATGCAGGCAACTATTAAGCGAACTTTTCCACTATCGTATCGCAATATCTTTCGCGAACATTTGGAAAATATGTACGGCCACCGATTGCGTTTGATGGCAGTTGATCGTTATATCGATTTTTATAACTGTACACGTGAAGAAAAGTCTTCGAAGTTGAGTGGTTTCATCGGCAGAGCCTTGGTGACATTTGCCCAACGTCATAGTGCAACAATTCAATACCCAACCACTTTGAAGAATGAATCACTTTTTCGTATAGAAAATCGCAAAGCTGTGGAGGAGAATATCATAGACATTGGCATACTTTGGCCATTATATGTGGAGAACACGAAGTCATTTCCCACGTTTGTGATGCACATTAAAAACTGGTGTCTGATGGTGCCAGTGGAAACTCCATTGCCGCCATATGATTTCTATTGGGTTATTATTTCGAGTAGCGTTGCCATTTTGTTTCTCATCAGCTTCGTATCAATATCCACAGTTTGGGCTATCATTGGGCGCTGTAAGTGTAGGCGGCAGCTATCCATTGATCAACACTTTCTAAACGTGTCGGTCTTTCAAGGATTATTGGGCATGCCATTTTGGACGAATCGCAGCCAATCGGGCATTCAGAAATTTCTCACCATCACCATTTCGTTTGCGGGTATTATTCTAGGTACCGCTTATAGCACTTACTTGCAAAGTTTTAATGTTTATGCACCCACGGATCATTATATTAGAAATATCGATGAATTTCTTAGCTATGGTATCAAGGTGGCAGTTGATCCCATCGACGTCGACATCATTAAGTATTATACAAATTTTTCCAAATACATTCAGAATTTCACAATTTTTAATAACATAACTGAATTACACGTTTGCTGCGGAATGAGCTGGATACGCGTTATGCATATTTTGTCGGTGATATGTGGATTATGTACGATATGCAACAGAAGAATTTCTCAAAACCTCTTTTTCGACTCTCAGACATTTGCTTTGGCAAGGAGATTCCATTTGTATTACCTTTGCCGCGAAATTCAATATATCGTAGAAGTTTGAATAGTTTAATATTATACCTACAACAATCGGGGCTAATGAGCTATTGGCTACATCACAGCTTTATTGAGCTAACAGAGATGAAAATGTTTAAGTTAGCTGATCGGAATAAGAGACATTCTTTCCAACCATTGAGATTAGCTGACTTACAGCCAGTAGTCCTACTGATGGGTATATTAATGAGTTTGAGCATTTTTTTTTTGTTTTGGAAATAATTTGGTAGAAAATTCAAAAAGTGCTTAATGCTAGCAGGGAATAACTAAATGAAAGATGTAGTGAAATTTAAAAAGAAAAGTTTTTGGTGACATTGGCTAACTGTGCATGCTTCCTAATACTCATAAAATATAGATTATTTAACTGTTTCATGCGCAAGATATTGCACCGACACATATATTTGAATGTCCAGCATATAAATTTACACACATGCATGCATACATATGCTCAGAGGAAAAGTTCGTTAAATAAATGTGATAGTAAAGAATTTTTTTTTAACTTTTTACTTTTTTTGAATGTGGGCTTACACATTGTAGATACTTTACTGGCGGCATCAAAATTGACAAAGTGTTAGGGTGCGGAGTCTATATCGAAGGTTACGGGTACACTTTTAACTTGCTTCTGTATCCGTGTACCAAGCCGAGTAATAGAAAATAGGTTGAGAGGTTGGGAGTTTACGTGTCTGTGGTTGCAGCTAAGCTGAACTCAAAGCATTCATCAATCATCTAACTTCCTTGTACATCAGGGACCGAACATAACAGTTATTGATGAAAACTGTCATTGAAAAATTCACTATGAAGGAAATGTTCTACAACTAAGTGATACATACCAATCGATTTCTTTTTTCGCCCAGCATCAAATTCGAAAATAAAATTTTATATCAAATTTTTGTGCAAAATTTTACATAACAATTATTATTGATTTTTATGTTATAAGTCCGGAGAAAAACAATTATTTTTGATTTTTGTTTAAATAATCTACAAATAACAGTTACTTTTGATTTTTATATTATATGTTTTAGATAACAGTTATTGAAGACTTTTATTTGTACAAGAAAGTTTGATGCATTAAAATAGCCTACAAATATGTCTTATTTAAGATATTTATTTAAGGCTCTATATTTGTGTATAAATTTTATTTCACAAATTTTTTGTTGCAGCACAAATCTCTTAAAAAACCTTGATATGTACGTGTATGCGTGCA